TTTCATGGCTGTAATCACCATCTGCAGTGATTTTCGAGCCCATAAAAATAAAGTCAGCCACTGTTTCCACTGTTTCCCCATCTATTTGCCATGAAGTGATGGGACCAGATGCCATAATCTTAGTTTTTTGAATGTTGAGTTTTAAGTCAACTTTTTCACTCTCCTCTTTCACTTCCATCNTTTTGGGCCCATCTTAGCATGAAATGTTCCCTTGGTATCTCCAATTTTCTTGAAGAGATCTGTAGTCATTCCCATTCTATTGTTCTCCTCTATTTCTTTGCATTGTTCACTGAGGAAGGCTTTCTTATCTCTCCTTGCTATTCTTTGGAACCCTGCATTCAAATGGGAATATATTTCCTTTTTTCCTTCGCTTTTCACTTCTCTTCATTTCACAGCTATATGTAAGGCCCCCTCAGACAGCCATGTTGCTTTTTTTGCATTTCTTTTTCCTGGGGATGGTCTTGATCCCTGTCTCCTGTATAATGTCATGAACCACTGTCCATAGTTCATCAGGCACTCTGTCTATCAGATCTAGTCCCTTAAATCTATTTCTTACTTCAACTGTATAATCATAAGGGTTTTGATTTAGGTCATACCTGAATGGTTTAGTGGTTTTCCCCACTTTCTTCAATTTAAGTTTGAATTTGACAATAAGGAGTTCATGATCTGAGCCACAGTCAGCTCCCAGTCTTGTTTTTGCTGACTGTATAGAGCTTCTCCATCTTTGGCTGCAAAGAATATAATCAATCTGATTTTGGTGTTGGCCATCTGGTGATGTCCATGTGTAGAGTCTTTTCTTGTGTTGGAAGAGGGTGTTTTCTATGACCAGTGCGTTCTCTTGCCAAAACTCTATTAGCCTTTGCCCTGCTTCATTCTGTACTCCAAGGCCAAATTTGCCTGTTACTCCAGGTGTTTACTACTTTTGCATTCCAGTACCCTATAATGAAAAGGACATCTTTTTTGGGTGTTAGTTCTAAAATGTCTTATAGGTGTTCATAGAACCATTCAAGTTCAGCTTCTTCAGCATTACTGGTCAGGGCGTAGACTTGGATTACTGTGATATTGAATGGTTTGCCTTGGAACTGAACAGAGATCATTCTGTCATTTTTGAGATTGCATTGAAGTACTGCTTTTTGGACTCTTTTGTTGACTATGATGGCTACTCCATCTCTTCTAAAGGATTCCTGCCTGCAGTAGTAGATAAAATGGTCATCTGAGTTAAATTCACCCATTCCAGTCCAATTTAATTTGCTGATTCCGAGAATGTTGACGTTCACTCCTGCCCTCTCCTGTTTGACCACTTTCAGTTTGCCTTGATTCATGGACCTAACATGAAAATTTCATGTACAATATTTGACAGTGGGTTGGATTTATCCCTTGGACTTTGATTTGCTGATCCTCATTCTATTTAATAAGTCTATTTCCAAATTCCCTGAGGCTCCTAATATGGACACTTGTTACGATAAGGCATTCAGAAATATAAGTGAATCTAAGACTTTTGAGCACATACCTTGCTTATGTGTGCATATGTGTGCTGAGTAAAAGTACTCCCAAAGCAACGGAATCTGTAGCTACTGTCTTGGAAATTATACTGAGGTGCTATAGAGTAATCAGAATAGGCTGACAGGGAATCATCCATACCACATTAAAGTCACCACCACAGTGACTAAGGGCTTCTCTCTAGTCACTGAAAACACATGCTCTGCTGATGATCTGCTCTTTACAATATTAGTATTACCAGGCTCTTGGAGAATTACATTTAACCAGCAATAAGTAAGGGGGAGGCAAAGTTCCCAGACAGAGTTGGCTTCTACTTTGTGAATTGCTTCTCATTGTAAAAATTCATTCATTTAGTGAAGAGTGCAGCCGTTTCAAGAGACTTATTCTTTCCATCCTTATTTCTACTTACAAGCCCTCTTTTTGCCATAGATTGCTGTTCCATGTTCTACTCACTGTTCTCCAGTATATATGTAACCATTTTCCTTTTAGTAAAAGACCCAACCATACATATTTCAGCTGAGCTCCACTAAATTTATGCCAACAGGATACATGAGAAGTGATATGTCCAAGTTCACGTTGGTCTCTCGAAACCTTTGCTTACTACTTGGCCCTTTGCCTTCTTCCCACAGCCTAGAATAGGGTGCTTTGATTATGAACGAGTGTTGGCCACACAGCCGAGAACATCACCCTATGACAGACGTTGGGAAACTTTTTCTCTAGAAGGCCAGATAGTATATATTTTAGGCTTTGGTGATCTCTGTCATACTACTTAACTATACCATTATAGGGTGAAAACAACCATAGATAACATGTAAATGAATGGGGTAGCTGAGGTCCGGTAGAATTTTATTTACAAAAGTAGGTGCCAGGCAGAATTTGATTCTCAGGCTGTAGTTTGCTGACTCCTGACCTAGAGGATGGCAAAGCAGCAGGAAACTGGGACTTCAAATGATTCAGTGAAGTAGAGCTGAACCTCTCAAATATAGATTGATAGGTGAGGAAAAAATACACTTTCAGTGTATCTCAGATCTCTTTATTATAGCAGCATGCTTTATTAAATGATAGATATCTCTATTTTAAAAAAATATATAAAGACTGCTTCAAATCAGTTATTATTTTTTCCCTCAGGTTGTTCCACTTCATAGGAAGCAATTCCATTTCAGTTAGTCATTGGAATAAATCTATTTTCCAGATTTTTGATTATACTAGTTCTTACATTGGTTGTTGTTTGAACGCTCTCCAACTTCTTCACTTCTTTTTGAAAAACATGTGGAAAATTAGAGAGGTGTGAAGGCAAAAATATCCCTCAGGATGCTATAAAATACTACCCCCAAATAATTTCCTTTTCCCCCCATTTCCTATACTGTATTTTTACACATTATTTTTAATAGTGACTTTCCTTTGTAAGAAATGTTAGGAGTTTAATACTCATCCTTAAGTCCATAAGTTCTGTATATTTGGAGATTAACACTATATGGGTAGCTTTGCAATTTAATACTTTTTCAGTTTTTTCCACTATAGTATTCATTTATGATATGAGGAAATATTAGTATTAAGTTGAAACATATGTAACTGACAAAAGTCAAACAATTTTTAACCTACCTAAAAATGTGGGCAATTTAAGTTGGTTCAATGTGATATATTCAAAGACACTCCTACTTACTAAGAAAATGAAATTAAATATATTAATATATACAGATGTACTAATTGAATCAGTACATACAAATTATAATCTGTCAATTTATTGTATGCTAAATCTTACTGTACACTAAATTTATATACAATGTTTTCCAAAAAAATTTTTTTGAAAGCCTGAGATGTGCCTGATCCTTGTGGTACTGATCTAAGGATCTGGAATACATCAGTGAACAAGATAGGAAATGCAAAAAATTTTCTTTACCATGTTGAGGGTGGTAAGTGCAATGGAACAAACTGCTTAGTATAAGTGGGATCAGGATTGCTGAAAACCAGAGGCAGGTTGCTCTTTTAAATATGGTTATCTTGTAAAAGTCTGGCTGGAAGGTGATATTTGAATAAATACTTGAAGGTACTAGGCAGGTACTTAAGTGAGAGAACTGACATTTCAGACAATAAGGTAGAAGGGTGCCTAGGGTATTGGAGGAACATCCCAGAGGCCACTAGACAGAATCTAGGGAAGGAAGAAAAGTAGGAGATGAGGTCAGTGTGGCAGTATGAGGAAGGGTTGGATCATGTAGGACCTTTTAATTATTTAAGGACCTTTGCTTCTACTTTGAGTAAGATTGGTATCTGATAGAGCCTTTCAAGATTTCCTTACCGTTTAAAAGAATAGCCCTTTGGATAATTTGTTGAGGATAAATTCTACAGGGAACAAGAAGGAAACAGGGAGACCTGATCAGAGATTCTTGTAATAGCCCAGGTTAGTAGTGGCCACTCTAATGTGCAGTAGCTATATTCAGGATATATTTTGAATAAAATTCAGCAAGATTTGCTGATGGACTGTATGTGGAATATGAAGGAAAGAAGAGAGTCAAGGGTGAACCCAAGATTTTAACCGGAACAACTTAAAGTGCTGTGGTAACTGAAATGAAAAAGACTCCAGGAAAAGCAGATCTGGGGGAGGGTGAAGATCAGGGGATGAGCTTTGAACATCTTAAATTTAATGTATTTATTAGCCAGTCAAGTGGAGACACTGAGTAAAGTTCTATCTCTCTCAGGGTAAAAGTCATCACTTTTCATGTCTTTTTTCATGTCTTTTTCATGTCTTTTTTCATGTCTTTTTCATGTCTTTTTTCATGTCTTAAAAGGCATTGTTTTACAGGATATATTATTGTCTCAGCCCAACACCTGTAAGAACTCATCTTTTGTTATTTCCCCCTTCCCTCACACTGTTAGCTATACCAGTCTCTTTGCTGCCCCTCACAAACATCCAGGCACACAATCTGCCTCAGTGCCTGTGCATTTCTGTTGCCTCTGACTGCAATACTCTTCTCTCAGACATCTGCATAGCTCACCCCATCTCTTCCTTCAGGTCACTGGGTAATGCCAGCTCATCAAGAAGCGCTCCCTGACCCCCCTATATAAACTAGTACCGCCCCCCACCCCGAGTTGTACTCCCTAACCTTCTCACCTTGTTTTACCTGTTTCCAGTGTACACAAGGTATCTGACAGTATATATCTTCTTTGTCATTTGCTTTATTTTCAGTTTCCCTCATTAGAATATGAACTCCAAGTGGTAGCCATAGAAATGAACTGCTTAGATTTATCTTTCAACTGTAGGGATTGCAATTAGCCAACATCATCCAAAAGCAGTGGGTCCTCGGGGATCCACTGGAGCATTCGAGCTGAGGCCATACTCTTTGTGCCCTGCCTCAGCATATAAGGAATACTAGGGCTTGGCCATTTCTGCCCAATGAGGGACTTCTTCAATAGACAATTATTTGTTCCAGAACTCCCTATCGTGTTTGCCGAGCTTTTGTTAGCTCTACTTCATAGTTTGAAGTTCTTCTTGTACAGCCCTCATTCCTCTTCTTTTTTCATAGATGTCAGATCAGTGGGCTTCCTGGGCAGCGCTCATGGTAAAGAACCCACCTGCCAATGAAAGAGATGTAGAGACACAGATTTGATCCTGGGATTGGGAAAATCCCCTGGAGAAGGGCATGGCAACCCACTCCAGTACTCTTGCCTGGAGAATCCCATGGACAGAGAAGCCTGGCAGGCTACAGTCCATGGGGGTCACACAGAGTCAGACACAACTGAAATGACTTAGCACACACACATGCACAGATCAGTATTATGGTCTTAAGTTTTTCTCAGAACCATTTTGATTTTCCCCCTTAAATTTCATAGGAGTTACTACCCTCCTCCTCCAAAACCCAACAACAACAACCACCACCCTCTTGCACTTCGAACTCAATTTCAGTATCACCTTTCTAGAGGATCTAAACTGGCAGTCGATAAGAGAGTCCTGAACACCTGGTAAGTGGGATTGGAATCTGAGGAGTGGATCGCTTGTCATCCCGAGTAGTATGTGAGACACAGTTCCTGTAAAAAGTGGTGCTAAAACTCACTGGTAGAGAGTAGGAAGGATATTCTAGTGGAAGGAATTACCCTGGGTAGGATAACGATGCATACTTTTGATAAATGTGAAGGATGAAACACATTGAAGGACAAAGAAATTGACTGGTTATTAATAAGTTGCAAAGATGTTGCAGTGAAAAAAGAATAATAAAAAATTCAAGCAGGTTACACATGACATAAAATGTAATGTGAAGGCAAGAACTTCTTATCTCCATCAGTGGGAGAGCAGAAAATTTTGGAAACCAAAATTAGCATGCAATACTTTGAGTTGTTGCACTTCAAAGACAGCAAAGGTCTTACTAAACTGCAAGCTTTGGTGCCATGTGGACCTTTGGAGTGCTCAGGGATCAACAGATAGGAAGAGGAGTCACTCTCCTTTGAGGAGCAGGAGGAAAATATATGGAATCAAGGTGAGCCTTTGGTACCTCTTGGCAACCCCTTATCTAATTTTGGGTGAGGAGGATGAGATTATCAGACTCAGACTCCTGGAAAGAGAGTTTGAGTTATGTCACTAGATAAACTTCCAAGGCTAGCAGAGATGATAGCTGAGGATGGGAGGAATTGATAATGGAGAGTAGAAAAGTAAGGAAAAGAGTAACAGTTGGAACCACAAGAACTGCAGTGATAGAAGTATCATTGGTTTTTCTTATCTCTCTGTTCCAAATTTATGCTCAAAAAGAGATCAACTAGGGACTTCCCTGGTGATCCAGTGGCTAAGACTCTATGCATCCAATGCAGGGGTCCAATGCTCACATCAAGGGTTCAACTGCTGGTCAGGGAACTAGATCCCATACAATATAGTTTGGGATGCAAGCAATTAAGAGTTCAAACGCTGTAACTGAGACCCAGCACAACCAAATAACTAATTATTTAAGAAGGACTGGGATGGGGAATACATGTAAATCCATGGCTAATTCATTTCAATGTATGACAAAAACTACTGTAATGATGTAAAGTAATTAGCCTCCAACTAATAAAAATAAATGGAAAAAAAAAAAAGAAAAACTGGCACTCTGGAAGAGCCACCACCCAAAACATGTAGGGAGAGGTGAATCCATGTGGCCCAGAGTGAACTGTGTTATCCATGGAGATGCACCGCTCAGATTCCCCTTCTGGACAGAATATATTCAGCTCTGAGGAGTGCAGTTAGCTGACTGTCTCCCTTTGCGCTGCATCTCCCACCGTATTGACCAAGACCTGTCACACATGCATCACAGTCTAGTGCTCTCTCTGCCCAGTTCTGCTTCCTCACCTCTCTCCTTTCACCAGTGTCATACACACAGTCTGAAAGCTTTCTTCACAGTTGTGCTTCCTCTGTCCTTTGATTTTACAGGCATTACACCACACTTTTTACACCCTCACATACACACACATTAACCTCTTTTCATCCTCAGACGGGCCTCAGCATCTCTCCTGAAGGGTCCAAACCAACTTATACCATGAGGACAGGATTTTATCTTTTTATCGATTCTCATCTGAATTCCCCAGTGCCTTCATTAGTATCTTTCAAGTTGTAGGCATTACATAAGTAGGATTTTGAAAGCTGTAATCTGAATTACACATGATAATTTTTTCAATCTTTCTGATATCAGCACCTTGCAGAGTCCAACTGAATATTTCCTCAACAATTTTCAGAGTCTTTATGTAAAATATACACCTTTAATTTTATTTGCATTTTGTTTGAAAGCTTTATATCACTTTTTTCTTCAGTGAAGATCAGTGTATTGAGCTCACTAGATATTTTCATTAAATAACTTTTTTAAAGTAAAGATACCAAGGGTATCATTTAGATTTATTTCTGTCCTATATTATCTCTTCTAAATTTAAGTGATTTAGTTAAGCTTAAAAATGCTGGCTGTATCCGAACTAACAACTTTGAAGTGAAAGGCTCCCTAATCATTTTCCTGCTTCTTGACTCACCAACCATCCTTGGGCAGAGTTTTCTGGTTATCCTACCACTGTCTTTAACCTCTTTGTGGCTTCTTATGGCTATCATTTGAGGATTATGGAATCTCCATATTGGTTAGGATCATGAATGGAGAAAACCATCATCTTGGTGGAAGCCATTACTGTCATTATCTCTGTGGGTCCTGAAAGATGATGACCCTCCAGAGCACTCTCACAAGTGTTGGTCCATGCCACGATGAAATTCTAATTTTCAAAACAAGTTTCCCCTCATCCCATCCAAGTGGTAATTATATCAGACATTTTATCTGGGAAAGTTGTTTGTTACACACTTTTGCTCTTCTCTTCTTAGACTTCTTTTAATACATTTCCTCAGGATATCACATATTTTTCAGGTCAAAATTTGAGCCTATCCTGTTTCCCCCTTTTAGAGCCATGCTGGCTCACCCACATGCATTAACTTAGAGGATCTTTAAAAGTAAGTTGCCACACCCACCAACTGCTGCATCAATAGAACTATTCTCAAGTCTCCCTACATTTTTTTGACATAAAAGTACTGTCTCGTTTTATTTCTTTATCTCTGCAGGTTTCAAAATGTAGTCTCTGTATTACCTACCTGGATTTATGATTATGTTCTGTGGATATGATGCTATTCTTCTCCATGGTCCTCTGAGGTGGCTCTTGGGACCACTGTCTCCAGATCCATTATCTTCAGTCAAAATTCACTAGGGAGAATACGAGAAATTTCTTTCAGTTCATTAAAAGGTATAGTTACAATATAGTAGACACATTGAAGACAGCAGAAATGATTGGATAGTATACTTACTGTTTTAAGATTCTAGAGAAGAAAAAATGGTCAAATGGTCTTTAAAGTTTGTCTTTATTGTTCTGAGTTTATTATTAAATTAAATTTACTGTGACTTTATCTGCATTTTATAGTTAAAACAAGACTTGCAGGATTTGTTTTGTCCTAACACTAGCTCACCGGCTTCTGCGGCGACTCAGTGGTAAAGAATTCGTCTTCAATGCAGGAGCTGCAAGAGACACAGGTTCTGTCTCAGGGCTCGGAAGATCCCCTGGAGAAGGGGATGGCAACTCACTCCACTCTTGCCTGGAGAATCCCATGCAAAGAGGAACCCGGTGGGCCAGAGTCCATAGGGTCGCAAAGAGTCGGACATGATTGAAGCGACTTAACACGCAGGTTCGCAACACTAGCTCACAATCTGGTGACTCTGACCTTGTTTGGATATCAGGTTTGGAGTTGGCATGCTATGGAAACCAAAAACTGTTTTTGGGAAACAGCTCACAGGGAAACTATGAGCTGGTTCAGTGCTGCCCTCGGAATTAATATAGTAAACATCATTTAAAGAAATGCAGTACAACCATTGTTAGCCATTGTCAATTTGCTTTCTCTCATCTTAGTATAAACATCCCAAACAAAAACAATATGATAATAGAGAGCGCCTCCGGGGTTTAGCCTTTTTCAGAGTTCCACACTGGGCCTTTTCTCTTACTCATTTTGTTGTTATCTTCTTGCAATAGTTTATTCATTGAGCCTCAGATCTCATAATAATCTCTTTTACAAAAAGCCATGGCTCTATCCTAACTGTGTTATAATACTAAGCTTAAAAAGGGGCCACTTGGAGATGACAGCCCACAGCTGCTGGCGGGCCGGCAGCGGGCTGGGCCGCACTGCGCATGCTCTCTTCCCGGAGCCCCTCTAGCCCTTGGTAAGGGCGGCGCTCTCGCCCACACACCCATGCTCCGGAGCGAAGAGCTTCTCGTCCGCCTGGGTGCGGGGCTCCCGTGGTACAGGTAGGCAAGTGGCTGCAGGTCCGGCGGGAGTCGGGTAGAATGCCGGCCCACCTGGCTGGCTGTAGGTTGACCCGGATAGGTCTCCAGAGGCCTTCTTGGGGATTAAGGAGTTTCCAAAAAGGGCCGTCGGACCTACCTTGTCACCTGGCTCGCTCTGGGCGCTGAGTAGCTGACTGCGCCAGCCCCACCGGTTTGCCCCTTAGTCTTGGCCTCAGTCTCTGGAGTGGCTTTGGGGTTGAGGCAGGCCCGGAAGGCCTTTCCTTACAGTCCAACTCTCACATCCATACATGACTACTGGAAAAACCATAGCTTTAAGTAGATGGACCTTTGTCAGCAAAGTAATGTCTCTGCTTTTTAATATGCTGTNCATGACTGAGGACTGGACTGAACTGAACTGAACTGGAAGGCCTAGGCCTTCCATTAGCAGGGCCTGCCGGTGGGGCGGTAGGATTGGCAACATTTTGAGGGCCCCCATATGCACATGCTGGTTGAGGTGGGCAGCGGGAGAACATGGTGGGACTTGTGGAAGTTGTCAGCCGGTCACGATGAGGAACCCCAAAGCCCTCCATGTCCTCAGCCAGGGGTCCGTGGTGCTGGGAGTGACAGACACTGACAGGGTCTGAGTCGGATGGAGTGGCTGTAGTATTACCTCTTTGCTGTCTGTTCTACCCACAGGCATCTATTTCAGACCAAATACTTTTAGTATGTCTCTGGCCAGACCAAGACATTTTGTTGCATTGAAATAACCAGTTTTACTTCTCATCGTGAATACCCAGAGGGAGTTATTCTTTTGTCCAGTAGGATGTGGTTATGGTTAATATCTGACTAAAGCAGTGGTTTACTTGTATTATCTCAGTAAAATATTGGCCTGGAATGTTTCATTTCAGGGTTTTCTAAGGAGAGCAGGTTGATTTTGATGAATGTTGTAATCATTGTGGGATGAAGTTTTACATTTTACATCCTAAAATATGTCATGTTTAGGATTTTAATTTAAAGTTATGAAGAATTAAAATTCATGGATTGCTATTACAGTTCTGAAGAAAGCAACTGAGATTTTCTTTTTTCAGGTACAGTAATTACACTGGCCTTTGGAAGAGCACAGGGCCTCTCTTTAGTCCTCCTCTTATTTCATACCCTAGGAGAAGTAATTTCTGGTGCAACGGTTCTAGGACATTTTATTGGATTACAGTCCCAGTGGGTAAAACTTGCACTAGGTGGATCTTCTGCTCATTTGGGTATCTTCTTATTTCTCTTCATTCGGTTATATGAAAGTTAAGAGAGTGCTGGAGTCCTCACATGTCAACCACTCTCTGAGCTCCCTCTCCTTCCTGACTCTCTGACTCTTTTTACCCCTCTGGTACTGGAGTAGAGGGACGGTGTACTTTAGACAGGCCTTGATAAACAGAGATGGGAAAAATACAAAGCTTGGTCTTGAACTTAGGACAACCATTCTCATTTGACCTGTAGAACACCTATTTCAGAATGACCTGTTGGCTAAAAGGTAGATTCTTAGACCATTCCTAGAATTATGGAATTAGAATAGCTGAGGGTAGTAGGCTGAGGGTACCCTATTCGGGATACTGTATATGCTAAATATTTTGATTCATGGTTTAAGTCTGGCTGTGTGTTAGAATTATTTGTAAATTGAAAAACTCTTGATAGTGGGAATAGTACAGAAAAACTAAATCAGCATTTAAGTTGAATTCCCCAAGTGAGTCTAGTGTGCAATTACAGTAGAAACTTATTAATTAGGAGAGTGATATTGCCTAAATAGTGAACTTTTACTTTGATTTTCCTTTCTTTCTAACCTTATAGTATGTGGTTTAAACAAAGTTAGATTCCATAGAATCAAAGATGAAAGATGTGTTACTCTATTAGCCTGTGAAACTGTTTTATATAAATTATAAAAATAAAAACATGGTAATATTGAAGTTGGATAAATTTTATACCAAAAAATGGAATAGATTTTTTTTTTTAGTTTCTTCTAACTCTCTTTTTTTTTTCCATTTATTTTTATTAGTTGGAGGCTAATTTACGTCATTGCAGTGGTTTTTGTCATACATTGAAATGAATTAGCCATGGATTTGTCTCTTATACAAATCTGATGT